TGTCACACTCTTCCCTCTCTCCCCACAGCCCTCAAGGGAGGTGATTCTCATTGATCCTGTACGCCTTTGTTAAGCCACCACTTTCGTCCCTGCTCCTTCGCAGGTCTGGTGTAGGTGAGCCCCTGGGCTCCCCTGACATGCGTATTGGAGCAGGCTGCTTTGTCTCTGTCTTTAGGCTTGAAGCTCGGTGGCTGCGGGGGCTATCAGACTCTGCAACCCGCATGGCGTGTGGTATAGAGTAAACCTCAGTTAAGACTTACTGAGTTGGGAAATGAATGAAGAAATGAGAAAGGAATGAATGCTAGGCACTGTTCTAGGCTTGGGGTCATAAAGAATAGAACAGCTATTTTCAAAAACTCATGCTCAAGTGGAAAGACAAAAGTACAACACACAATTTTAAAAGAGTGGCATTTAAGGGTTCCTGGGTGGTCCAGTCAGTTAAGCATCCTACTCTCAATTTTGGCTCATGGTTCATGAGATTAAGCCCTGTGTCAGGCTCTGTGCTGATAGCAGGGAACCTGCTTGGGATTCTTTATCTCCCTCTCTTTTCCCCTCCCCAACTTATGCTCACATGCGTGCCCTCTCTCTTTCTCTCTCAAACTAAATAAATAAAAACATTTTTACAAAATAGGGACACCTGGGGAGCTCAGTCAATTAAGTGTCTGACTCTTGATTTTGGCTCATGGTTGGGGAGGTCAAGCCTTTCCTTGGGTTCTGTGCTGACAGGGAGGAGCTTGCTTAGAATTCTCTCTCTCCCTCTCTCTCTGCCCTTACCCTACTTGTGTTCTCTCTCTCTTTCCCTAAATAAATAAAAACATCAAAAAAAAATAAGATGCCTGGGTGGCTCAGACAGCTGAGTGTTCAACTTTTGATTTCAGCTCTGGTCATTATCTCAAGGTCATGAGATCAAGCCCCATGTTGGGCTCTGTATAGAGTGTGGAGCTTGGTTTGGATTCTCTCTCTCCCTCTCTCTCTGACCCACCCTTGCTTGTGTGCATATACACTCTCCTCTTTCTCTCTCTCTCTCAATATAAATAAACTTAAAAAATTTTATTTAAATTAAAAAAATAAAATAGTGACATTTATGGAGTGCTTGCTATGTGCCAAAGGGCCTAAGAATTGTGCATGTATTAACTCATCTGATCAGCACGATCATTATATAAGCTAGGAACTATTAGTGTCCCCATTTTACATGGGGAAACTGAAACACAAAGAAGTAAATTGCTGAAGGTTGTACAGCTAAAATGGTGTAGACTGGAGCTTCATAGTAGCCGAAAGCAGGAAATTACCCACATGTCCATCGATAAGAACACGGATGAACACATTGCCTTGCATTCGCCGGATGGAATACCACACGGCAGCAGAGAGCAGTAAGTTACTGATATGACAACCAGGATGAGTCACACAAATTTTATGCTGAGCAGAAGAAACCAGACACGAAAGAACACGTGCAGTAGGATTCCATTTATAGGCAACTTTAGAAAAGAATCCTAATGTATGGTGGAGATAGCAGATCAGAGTTTGCCTGGGGCCAGGGAACAAAACGGGTTGACAGGGAAGGGGCACAGGGGAATTTGGGAGTGATGGAAATATTCAACATTTAGATTGTGGCAGTGGCTACATGGGTGTATGTATTTGTCAAAAGTCACCATATCAGAGCCTTAAAATCTGTGAATTTTATTTGATGGAAATTATATCTCCATAAAGTTTATTTTAAAGTTTTTACAAAGTAAAATTTAAAACTCAAGCAGCCCAACTTCAGAGCCCACCACTCTGCCATCTAACCAGTGTGGCAGGTGCTTTTATAGAGTTCATGAGAAGAATCATGATACATCAAATTCTGGTTTCTGCCAAAGTAGTTGACTAATTTTCTCTCCTTCCACCAAAATGAACACTGAAAAAATTTGTAGAAGTAAGAGGAAGATATAGATTCCAGGAACCAACAACCATAATAATAACTACAAAACATGGACTTCCTGGAAACAGTGCCTGGAACTTCCATGTGTCTGGAAGGTGGGTATCTGCAGCTTGAAGCCGAGGGCACCCAGAAGTGGCAGCAGCCGACATGTGGGAAGAAAACTTTGGAGTTCTGCTCTCACTTCCCTCCACCCTGCCTTGGACAAACCATCACCTGACCTTCACATCCCAGCCAAGCCAACAGCAGGGCAGCGGGAAAACCCTTCTGCAGTAGAGTTGATGAACTAAAACAACAATGAGACACACCTATTGGAACGGCCAAAGGCCAAAACAGTGACAACATCAAAAGCTAATGAGAATCTGAAGCAACAGGAACTCTCCTACATGGCTGGTGGGAATGGAAAATGGTACAGCCACCTTGGAAGTGAGTTTGATGATTTACTAAAAAACTAAACATATTCTTACCATATGACTGAGCAACCACACACCTTGGATATTTATCTAAGGTTTTGTCCTCACAAAAACCTCCACATGGATGTTTATAGCAGGTTTATTCCTAATTGGCCCAAATTGGAAGTAAGCAAGATGTTCTTCATTAGGTAAATGGATAAATAAACTGTGGTACATCCAGACAGTGGGATATCATTCAGCACTAAAAAGACTTGAGATTAAGGGGTTCCTGGGTGGCTCAGTCAGTTGAGTGTCCAACTGCGGCTCAGGTCGTGATCTCATGATTCGTGTGCTGACAGCTCTGAGCTTGGAATCTGTTTCGGATTCTGTGTCTCCATCTCTCTCTGCTCCCCCGCTCTTACTCACACTCTGACTCTCTCTCTTTCTCTCTTAAAAATAAATAAACATTAAAAACATAAATGAGATTTCAAGGCATGAAAAGGCATGGCATGACTTTAAAAGCATATTGCTAAGTGAATGAAGTCAGTCTGAAAATGCCATATACTGTATGATTCCAACTCTATGATAACCTGGAAAAGGCAAAATTATGGAGATAGTAAAATGATCACTGGATGCCGTTGGTGAGGGGTAGGGGAAAGGGATACATAGAACATTTTCAAGGCATTGGAAACACTTGGTATGATATTATAATGATGGATATATGTCGTCATACATTTGCCCAAACCCATAGAATGTACCACACCAAGAGTGAACCCCAAAGGAAACTATGGGCTTTGGGTATGATACAGTGTCCATGTAGGGTTAACAGTCATAACAAATGCACCATGCTGGTGAATTATGTTAATAATGGAGGAGGCTACACATATGTGGGGGCAGGAGGTTTATGGGAAATCTCATATCTTCCTCTCAATTTTGTTGTGAAAATAAAACTCCTGTAAAAAAAAAAAAAGTCTAAAAAAAAGAGTTGATGCAAACAGATTAGATCTTCTCTGCTGTCTTTAGGCTTTTACACCTCTAGTCGTCTCCTCTCAAACCTACGCCTGGTGGACACAACCTGAAGACACCACCAGCTCTCCATGCCTCTTCATCCTACGGGTTTAAAAGTAAAACTATGGGATTCTGAGGACTCTGCCCTGGGACTCATCTGTTCCCCTCTCTTTGAACCCATGTAGACAAACACTTGAACTTGCTCTCTTTCCCCAGCACAGCATGAATTACCAAAGAAAGTAGATGAGTGTTAGCCTCAGGGAAACATGACTTCATCAGCCAAAATAACTAGATTTGAGGATGTAATTACTATAAAGAGAGGCAACACAGAGGACAACACTTCGAGCAGATTTATTGAAACAAATGATTCAAAAATGTAAAATAACTAGGCCAAATATACTTAAGGAGATATGAGGGAAAATATTAGCAATATGAAACAAGAACAAGAAATCAATAAGAGATACCAAGTGGAAATGTAGGTGTAAAAAATATAAATAACTGAAGTAAACAATAAGATACATGGTGAAATAAATTTGAAGAAAAATGAAGTGGTAAATTAGAAAATCAGACTGGGACGCCTAGGTGGCTCAGTCGGTTAAGCATCCGACTCTTAATTTCGGCTTGGGTTTCACAATCTCACTGTTCTTGGAATCAGGCCCCAAAGCTGGCTCTGTGCTGATAATGTGGAGCCTGTTTGGGATTCTCTTTTTCCCTCTCTCTCTGTCCCTCCCCTGTTCAAGTGCATGAGCTCTCTCTCTCTCTCTTTCTCAAAAATAAATAAATGAACATTTAAAGAAAAAGAAAATCAGACTGAGAAAATGATAGAATATGTAAAAAGAAAGCTAAATGATATTAAAAATAGAACAGAATATGTGGGATATAGGTAGAAAAGTACTGTAAGAGAGCCCCTAACTTTGTCTGGGAAACCCAAGAAAAGCTTAAGGAAGAGAGTTCTTAAACTGAGACATAAAGAATGGTAGGAGCTTGCCAGGTGGGCATGGAAAGAAAAAACATTTCAGGCAGAAAACACCAATGTGTGCAGATGCATGGAGGCATGAACGAAGGTAATTGCTGTGATTTGGGAGGAGCAGGTAGGCTGGTGTGTCTGTAGCAAAGGCTACTTGAAGAAAAGTAATGAAGGCTAATGTTGAAGGGCAAGCAAGAGTCCAATTGGGAAGATTCTTGGGAGATCTGTAGTATAATGTCCCCCCTTTTTAAATCTAAGGAAACTAAGTCATGCTCAGACCGCTTAAGTGAGTTGCCCCAGGTCAGCCCTCTGACTGGGGCACTCATGCTTTTTCACTGCATCATATGTCCTGAGGTTACTTAGCTTGGTAATCTCAGTGTTTGGCAAAGTCTGTTAAAACACACACACACACACACACACACACACACACACACACACACAAATGAGACTGAAAAGTAGGTGAGCCTTGAGTTCAGGAGCTGATGGGTTGTTCTGAAGTGTGGAGTGTCCAGCTGATAACTAGGACATTCAGGGTTCGATAGAAGAAGACCGAGGCCAAAGGGGGATAAATTTTGCCACCATCAGCGCATGGAGGGAGGGGCATTCATGGGAGTGGGTGGAGTTGTGGCAATAATCCCCCTTGTGATGTTGGCAAACATTTTCTCAGGATAGAAACATCTCACTGATGAACTAGGACATCACTGGCTCAGAGAGGAAAACCAAAAGAAAGGCCAGTTGTGACATCTTCTACCAACTAGATACTGCTGGCCCATCAGTTACCCCTGGATGGGATCTGAATCTGATGTCGAATTGCTTCTATCAATCACCTGGTGAAGATAAACCATCCTTTGACCTGGACTGTCAAAAGTCTAAATTCTTTTGAGTCACACCCCATCCTGGGATGCAGGATCACAGGAGTACTAGAGTCACTGGGGAAACCCAAACTGGGAAGAGCTGTCTCTGAATTCCAGGTATGCAGAGGAGCATCCATTTATCCAGAGGTAAGTATCATTACTTCTGCCCTGTAGGTAAGAAAGCAAACTCTTCTAAGTTTATATATTTATTAAGAGAGAGAGAGAGTGAGCACGAGTGGGGGATAGCCAGAGAGAGAGAGAATCCCAAGCAGGCTCCATGCTGTCAGGGCAGAGCCAGATGTGTACCTCAAACTCAATAACCATGAGATCATGACCAAGCCAAGACCAAGAGTCAGATACTTCAACAACTAAGCCACCCAGTGGTCCCCCCAAAAAACTAACTCTTGAAGAGTTTAAGAAACTTTCCCAAGGTCATACAACTAATAAGAGACAGAGCTGGGATTTAAATGGAGGGTATGTTGGCCCCAGAGATTAGCAGAAGGAAATGGAACAAGACTGAGTGCTGAGTGTACCCAGCACTTGTTCTCACTTTTGCTTTCTCAAAACCCAGCACTCAAAGTGGGTCAGGAGGGAGAGTCCATGTCCTCGGTTCTAAGAAGCTTGAGAACTGAAGTTACCAATCAATGAAGAAAGAACTTTGGCCCACAAGTAAGAACTAGGTCCCACCATGAGCTTTGCCACAACTTACTGTGTGACCATGACCAAGTCACTTTCCCTCTGTAGTCTCCATTCTCTTTATATATGGAAGACTCTGGAATCCCATGTCTCTGTGACTGGCAGGGGGCTTCCCTTAGACCCTAAGCCCCATCCACCAGGCCTGGCAGCACCCACTTCTCTCCTCCCAATGCCTTTCCTCCTCTCCATTCACACCAGCCATTCCAGCTCGAGCTTCCCAGCTGAGGGTTGGGTGTGGATTGTGTGGAAAGACATATGGCATCCCAGTGCAGCCGAGAGTCCAATCTCGAGGGGAAACCATTGTTCATTCATCTGGACCGAGTGACATTCTTTATGCAAGAATAACTCTTGATTAAAGGGTGAGTTTTAATGGAAACTAATTAGGCAAACTCTTTAGCCTGGGCATAATGATCAAATGAGCTGTCACACCGTACCTGATACAATGATCTCACTCGCTACAAGATTTTATTCCTTAGCAATTACACTCCCACATGGCACTGCGTGCCGTTATTGCCTGGAGCACACATGTCAAATTAAAGAGCAACTTATGCACCTGATATTTAATTATTGCCTAGTACTACAGACACCCGGGGAATGTCAAAGTGAGCAGTCCTGCTTGGGAGAAACGAAAACTGAAATCTTCTTCTGCGAGGGAGTGAAAAAAATAGGGATAAAATATGTATAGGCTACTATAGTTTCTTATTCAGCCGTCTTACAATTCACAGTTACAAAACCTGCTCTCCCCAACCTTGAATAATTTACCACTTTTTTTTCTTCATCCAGAAAAGTCAGCAGAAGGAGAGTTGCAGGTAAAGGCACGGGGGCCCTATTGGTATTTGTTTACCTATTTGATTGATGCGGTTCGGATCTGGTCAAAGTTGAGCCCTTTGTGCAAGTGATTCTTTCCCTAATGGGCTGTGACAGGAAAGAGGGTGCCTCGTATGCCTCCCTAGTCTAAAGGGAGATGTTTGCCCTCAAGGCTGAGCACTCGGGAAGCCCCATCGTGCACTTCAGTCTCACTGAGTAACACATTTGAGAAGTTGACCCAAGTTTCTCTCCAGTATATTTGCACCTCAGCTGGGACAGAGAACCATTGGGATGTAAGGATCGGTCTTCTGCTTTGTATGTTAGAAGAGTCTGGAGAACTTTTCAAACATTCTGATGCTCGAATCCCATCCCAGACTAATTAAATTAGGATCTGGAGAGGAGGACTGGGCAATTTATTTAAGGCTTTTCCAACAATCTCGGTATTCAAGTGAAGCCTAGAATCACCAGTGTGAAGAGCCACCAGGCCTGACGCGAGCCGGTGCTGAGTGTGATGGGGACTGCTTCCCGTCCTCAACAAGACAGACCCCCATGCCTCTGTTCTTCGCACATGCTGTTCTCTCCTCCAGAATGCTCTTCCCCATCCCTTCTTACTACCTGGAAAACAAAAACTATCTTTACTATCAAGTGCAAATGTTACTTTCCTAAGACAGCTCCTCTGGTATTTCCAGGAAGACTTGCTTCCACATCCCCCAGGAGCCAGACACCAAGCTAAAAGGATCCTTGAACCAAATTGTTTCCTCAGTGGGGGGTTCAAGAAGAGAATCCCCATGTCTCCAGCAACCATCTGTGTGTCCCAGCTGAGCAAATTCTAAGAATGTCTTGGTCCCTTTTGCTCCAGATAAAGAAATTCAAATTACCCATTATCAGAATTGCACTGCCTAATACTAAAATGCCTTAATGTGAGTGCTTTTGTATTTAGTAAACTGCACAGCTTGTGAAAACCCCCTCCAAACATCTGGCAGGAGGCCCAGCAGAGGTAAGGCTGGAGCCTCTGACGATGGCAACATGTAAACAAGTGTTTTGTCTCGACAGATAATCATTAACTTCCAGTGTCAGGCTTACCCCCAGAGGTCTGGTTCCTCAGCCTTGCAAAGGCTTCTGGGAAACAGCAGCTGGGATGGGGCCTGTGCACACATGCTGGGAAGGGAGGGGGTGGGCAGGCCTGTCACTACCAACGTGGAGAGGCAGGAGGTGATGGGCACGGCCTTAGAGCAGTTTCTTCTGATGAAAGGCAGCAGAATCAGGGAGCCCTGCTCTCCTCTCGGGGACTTCGGTGCTAGGCAAAGATTTAGTCTTAATTCTGCTGTTGGCTGGCCATGTGACCTTGGGAAGGAAGCCTCAGTTTCTCTATCTGTCACGGAGAGTTGACACAAGATCCTGCTTTACAGGGCAGTTGTAAGAAGTAGGTAGGAAAATATGTGTCAGTGAGGCTTCTGGAATAGCACTGGTTTACAGAAGGCAGTTGATAAAGGGAAATTCTTTCGCCATTCTTCCCTTCAGACATTCCTAACTGGGCCCTAGGTTCATCTAATGATCCTTTTCCTAACTCAGTAAGTAAAGGATTTGGCCCCACAATCACTGGGCTGACATTTGTCATATCTGGGCACATGAATACTTAGACACAAACCCAATAATAAGAAAACAGCTGGATTTTTATTCTCTCTGACCATTAGTAAATACTGGTGCTAAGTAATCCTTCACAGTACATTCAAATCCAAATATGAGTTCATTCACTAAATATTAATTGAGTGACTACAACGTTCTAGGCACTACATGTGCCTCTGCAGCTCGGGTTCCTCAGAAAGCAAACACAGAGACAGATGTCTGCAGGAGGAAGTTATTACGGAATGTAATTCCACAATTTTAGGGCCCACATCTGTAGAAAAGAGAATTATGTCCCTCCAAGCTTCTTACATTAAAGACCTAACCCTCAATGTGACTGTATTTGGATATAGGGCCTTAAAGGAGGTAATTAAGGTTAAATGAAGTCATATTGGTAGGACCCTAACCTGACAGGCCTGGTGTCCTTATCAGAAGGGGAAGAAATATTGGAGCTCTCTCTTTCCATGTGAGCACAGAGGAAAGGCCATGTGAAATCATGGCAAGAAGGTAGCTGTCAGAAGCCAGGATGAGAGGCCCCACCAGAAACTAAACTGCCAGCACCTTGACATTGGATATATAGCCTCCTGGAATGTGAGATAACAACTTTCTGTTGTTGAAGCCAGCAGTCTGTGGTATTTCGTTAGTCAGCCTGAGCTGACTAATACAAGAGATGAAGGAAGTAGGAACGGGAAGGGGGCAGACACTAAGCTATAATGCAGGCCCGAAAAAGATTTCAAATGAACCCATGAGGAGCTCTGGAACTAAACCGGCCCTTCAGAGTCATCTCCAGTTAGAATGAGGGCCACCTAGGGCATCAGTCATTGGAAGCAGGCTGTCCCCGAAAAGAGGCATGACCCCAGAAATGGCAGTTTCTTTCTGCTGAGGCAATCCCCCAAAAGGCTGGCAGGACTCTGGGCATCACATACTCCATCGCGGCGAGGGTCCCTATGGACCCAGTGAGGAGTGCCCTTTTCCTGGCACCCACAATGTGGCACCCAAATGTCATTTTATTATTATTATATTTTTATCTTCACAGTACTCCTGTGAGATGATACCTATTTCACAGAGAAATGACATAATGTGTTCAAAGCTGCGAAGCTGATAAATAATGGAGGCAGAATTCAAGAAGAGGCCCCTCTTTCCCAGTGACCTTAGTCTTGCCCTGACACTGTGCTGCCCCCTCCTTGGAAGATGAAGAAGAAGCTTCATCTTCTGTAAGAAGTAACCCCTGCCCTCTAATACTTACATGCAACCTAGCACCTTGTGCCTCTCTCTTCAAAGCCCATAGCACTTTGCCTTATAATAGTCATATTACTAGACACTTATTTGGCATTTACTATGTCCCAGGCAATGTTTTAGCACTTTTCAGGTATTAATTTATTTAATCGTTTCGAGAGGTGTTTCCTCTGAGGTATTATTTTCATCACCCTTATTTTACTGATGAGAAGGCTAATAAGACACAAAGTTGTTAGATAACTCTCCCAGAGACACCTAGCAAGGGGTTGAGCCCATGTGATCTGGTTGCACATCTTATACTGCTCTGTCTTGGGGTGATAATGGTCACATCTGCCTCCCTCTGGTCTGCAAAGATTTGATGAGCTCGATCAAATCTTGTTTATCTTTTCCATTCCAGCACCTTACCTGCGACTGAGATACACTAAGCTCTTTTGTAAGGTCTTCCTAAGCAACTGAGTGATGCCTTGCACACGAACAGTTTGAAAATTATTTGACTTGATGTATGTGGACAAAACCTAGAAGAAAAGACAGACAAATAAAACCTGTTGATTCTGTTGATATGCTGATATCATGGGCAAATGTTGATTCTTTTACTCTCTGGATGTTGATAGAATATTGGTTTCTAGGAGCTCAAATGGATGATGCAGACTTTCTCTACATTTCCTATCATATCATAAGAGTGGACATCTATTCCACTTCTGAGTGCATTGCTGCTGGGAACGCAGGCTTCCCCAGAGCTCTGAGAATCTGACCCAGATCACGTCTCAGGCATCACAGCATGGCAA